AATAAGACCGTCTATCTGTTTCCTGACGCCCACTTCAACCCTAATGTGGCTCAGTCTGTCTCCAACGGCCACCAACTCTATTGCTAAGTCCACTCTTAGTGATGATTCAGTGTTTCTGGCTCACTGATCTGATGAAGTATTAGTAAATCATTGTTTTTTTTCTTTGCATGTATCTCCACTCCAATATTATTTAATATATAGCAACCAAGGACAGGACTTCTTATCGTCTGGCAAAAAAAAAAATCAAGCTTCTAAATGTAAATTCATATTGTTTGTGTAAAGGTCAATGCCATTTTTTTGTTTTTCACCTGAAATCTATCAGTCAAACACCAGACAGACGTTAAAGGGGATGTTAGAGTTAATTTTTCACAAAAAAACAAAACAAAATGAAAAAAAGGACATTTAATTATTTTTAGATAACGAATAACAGATGGAAAAGTAACAGAGAAAACTGAAAGGAAATTTAGGTTTTTCTGTAAAAAAAAAAAGTATATTTCTGAAGGCATCTGCATTTTGTCACATTACAACCAAAACTTTCAATGTTTTATACTGACATTATATTTAATGGAGGTAAATAAAGTAGTGGTAAAATGGGAGAAAAGTATGTTTTAATGAACATTGACATTTAGCTCTCATTAGTTATCTAAAGGAAATCTATTAGAACAGAATGTCCTAAGAAGTCATTAGATAATCTGTGAAGGCCTCAATGGCTTAGAGAATGAACTGAATCATGGAGCCCAAGGAGCACAGCAGACAGGTCAGAAGAAGCAGACTTAGATTACGACATATTACAGGCTTTTAACTTCTCAATAAGTATATGTACTCCACAAATCTCGGCTTCTTCAAGGACAAAACAAAGATGTCTTCTTCACCGTTTACATGGTTTCATCAAATTAAACCCTGAACACATCATCCTGAAAAGCATGGTGGTGGGAGGATCATGCTGTGTGGATTCTCTTTAGTTTTTTTGCAAAAAAATCTGACTTCAAATATTCAGCTCAGGGGGGAGAATAAATACACACCGCACTTTTCAGATAATTTTTTACATTTTTAATCCTCTGGTACTTTGCTTTCTTTTGAGTTTATAAAAAACATTAAGAAAAAGGTTTGAGATGTATGAATATTTCATCAAAGATGATTCAATATGGCAAAAATCTTCAGTATGTTTTGTTTTTAACATCTCTGCTGTGCTAACATAGAAACCATCTGCCCTGAAAAGAAAAATGGAGGCAAAATATGCAAAATGTTTCTGCTAAAGTCATTCGAAAGCTGCCGCCTCAGATTAGAGAAATGAGGCCTGACTGCTTGTTAGCTTTGTTAGGAAAACGACGAAGCGCCTTTTTTAAGGGAACGGTCAAAGTCTAGTGTCCTCCAAACAGATCAATGCCACAGAGCGTCCTCTCTGCTGCGCTCCGACTGGGGGATGTTCCTTTAACGCTGGCATGCTGACTGTGTGATCAGAGGCGGCAGATGGGCTCAGCTGTTGTGTCTGCCGCTGCTTGTGTGTTGCTCAGCTGTTACCAGGTCACAGCTTCCCCTCCCCTGGATCTGATTACGCTGTGGAAATTTCACCTTCTCTTTCCTGGACGGAGCAGGGCATGGCTGGTTGGCGGGCAGCGTTGAGCTTGTTGAACGCCCGCTCCACTCCACTCCCTGCTGCACAGCAGAATGGAGAGAGCAGACCAGGCTCTTTTTATAGCAGCTTCAGTATTCAGATAGGGGAAAATTAAATTTTTATTAAAAAGGAGAGTCCTGTTCTAGAATTTCAGCTTGTCTTTCACTCTAGCCTCTCTTCTCCTCACAGTGAACATGACACAGTGTTTGTTACACCTCTGCCTCTTGTCTGAATCGGACCTCTGGGAGCTCCATCCTTTCCACCTCCTTTTCCCACCTACTCTTTTTCATCTCTCTTCTTTTTTTCTGTATCAGCACTACTGCATCAGTTGCACAGTGCTGACTGAGGGCCCACGCTGGGGCGTTACATAACGGCCGCTGCGTGCTGTCTGCTAACTGGGGCCCCTTTACTGAATATGTGGCTACTGGCTGCTTATGAGCCTCAATCTTCAAAGTAAATAAAATGAACGGAAATCATGTATTGCTTTGATATGAAGCGATCAACGTAGGGCGTAACTTTTAAATAGTTATGGATTCATTTTACTGCTTTAGTTTTCCGCTTTATAAAAACTTCTCAACAGTTGAACTTAACTTGTATTTTAGGGCTATATTGTTAAAAAAGAAAAAGGAAAACTTGGCCTGGCAACAGTATTTATAGTTGAAACCAGATGTTTACACTTTTTTAAAAGACAAAAACTTTTATTTGTCACTGTCTAACAATAAATCTGACTAAAATGTTCCCTGTTTTCGTTGGTTAGAGTTACTAACGCCAAGATTACGAGAATATAGAGAGCTTTTTTTTATAGTTAGAGTTTGAATGTCTTAATATTGACCATATGGCTTTGGTAAAACATATATGGGTTTCCTTCCTACAAGGTTCGTATAATAGTTCTCACAAATTTTTCTAAAGGTTGTTTATTTGTGCCACAAACCCAAACTCTCAGTGAGACAGATGTGAAGACGTGTATCTACGAACAGTAATTTCTGTTGTATACCTTTAAATCTTATACACCTGATCATGTGTCCAACTCTGTCTCTGTCGCAGCTTGAAAGTGAACATTAATGAATCACAGGGAAACATAATCACAGTGTTTTCAGTCAGGGTATTTTTGCAAATAATGCATTTGGTTGCAAAACAAAAAATTTCAACCTGCAAATCAAAATACTAGTTGTAGAAACTATAAACAAAGCGGATTTATGAAAAACGCAAGATATCATAAAGGTGGCACGAATATTACGCCGTATATACCATAGTTAGTCTCTTTGTAACTAACTAATGTTATGCCCTCATTCGTTGTTCTTTTGAGAAACACATTTGTGTCCAAACTTAAACTTCTTGGCTGATAACAAAGTATTAATTATGGTCCAAACTAAGGACATGTCCCCAAAAGCCGAGGTCCTTGTCCCTGTGCGCCTTTGAAACGGTAATGGCTGATTTTGGCTTTGAGTATTTAATGACATCAAAGGCTGGGCAACAAATCGATGTCACTACGCATTGTGATAGACACCTGATCAATATTAAAATATCTACACTAAAATTTTCAATAATTTCATAAGATTTTAATCCAGAATCACAGGGGATTCTGGGGGATGTAGGCAGAGGAAATGATGTAGTTTTTGAACCTATCACTGCAAAACTAAATATCCTTGGTAGTACAGACATGGGCGGTTCTAGACAGGGGCCAAAGGGGGCAAGTACCCTTGTAGATCATATCCAGGCCCCTGTTATGGCCCCTGTACTGAAGACATAATATTCAAAGAAAGTCTAATGGTCAAATGCACTGGAACAGACATGGTTACTGATAGGTGGTTTTTTGGATCTGTGTCATTTTTTTTCTTTACAAATTCTGTTTTACTAATTATTTAAAAACAATAAGGTGACATAGGATCCCAGTTTGCATCTGCTAAATTTTTTTTTTAAAAACAAATAAAAAAAAAAAAAATATTTTACAGCTGAATTTATCTGTTTTTCCTTGAGAGCTAATTCAGATTTTATAAAAAGGGTAATTTTAACTTAAATTAAGTCAAAAATATGTAAAAATTCTAAATTATGAATTGAATCCTTTGCTCTGTTTTTATTTTCATGCTTTTCTGTGCCCCCATGAAAACACGCTGGCCCCCTCCTGACCCCCTGGTACATTTGGTCTAGAACCGCCACTGAGTACAGATTACCTATTTTTAAAGGTTGCATTTAAATAGGTTATAAATTAAATGATGTCAAAGAGTAAAAAAAAACACTAATCAATGGTCAATGATATGGACTGATTTTAAAATGATCATATGATGATCCATTTTCAGCTATATGGCACATAGTTAAATTCACTTCAGTTCATTTATATATAGCACCAATTCACAACATGTCATCTCAGGGCACTTTACAGAGACAATTCAACCAGATCACACAGTCAACCTGATCCAAAGTTTTCCATCCAAGGAAAACCAGTTGATTGCATCGACTCATTGACTCCAAGGCAATCCACCACAAGAAAGCATGCTTGTAGCGACAGTGGAGAGGAAAATATTTTAAATAAATTAGCTATATTTAACTTATGAATATTCCTCATGTAAGGTTTGGATAATAGGCTTGTGTTAAAGTTATCTAAAATAGTAAATTGGAGTTTGTTATATAAAGAAATTATATAAATCTTAAAATGTGGGGGAAATATTTTTGTTAGTGTATCCTTTCCTATGGACTGGATACCCAAAGGAAGGACAGCCAGAAAATCAGCCCAAAAGGTCACAGCCCTTGGGGGTCATCTGTAGGGACAAGGCAAAGACCCCTATAGCATCTGCAGCGTGGGAGAAACCATTACCCCACTATGGCTTCTCACTCAGCGCTGGCTGCCTTCATGCCTGCTTGTTTTATCCTCCAGCTCATGTGAAGAATGATTGGTACCACACACCCTCTCTGGGGAAGCATTTTGGGGATAATTGCATTTCCAAATGCAATGCCACCAGTTAGAAATAACACAAAACTTTTGCAGAGCATTTCAGTTAGAGCATCATATGATTCATTTTTTAGCTTCTGTGATGTAAAAAAAAAAAAAAAAATCTCATCACAACGTTGAAGGTTTGTCTGACACATGTGTGGCTTTTTTAGTGCTGCATTTAATCACTGTTTCCTTAAATCTGAGTCAATCTCTGTTCTCTATCTGTCACCGTGTTGCGTGCCTCTTATTATGATGTAAGCTCCTAAAAGTGTGTGATGATAAGTCTTGTTGGATTGATGCAGTGCAGGTTAGATGATCTAAAAGGAAAGGAATGTAGACGTCCCTTTAAATCTAAAAGACACTGATGTTTAACATATTTTCTTCAATCTGACACATAAAAAATGGTTTGTGTTCCTTAAAAGGGATTTTATTTGTTGCTTCTTTCTATGTTTGCAGACATATTCCGGTCTTTTTTGTGTGGTCATCAACCCTTACAAGAACCTGCCCATCTATTCAGAGAACATCATAGAGATGTACAGAGGAAAGAAGAGACATGAAATGCCTCCGCACATTTATGCCATCTCAGAGTCAGCGTACCGCTGCATGCTCCAAGGTAAAATACACCCTGTATCAGCATGTCCTGTGTTATTATTGCTATTATTGTGTGTTATTATGTATTGACACTTAGCAAGTCTCATCTTGCTGGTGATTTTCCAGGTGACTTGCAGAACGGTTGATTTATGCTTTGCATTAATTTATAGGTGTAATTTCACTTTCAGTAAAAATAAAATAGGAGTTAACTGATCAAACCTGAAAACTCTTGCTGAAAGTATTTTAGATCACTTACAGATAGAATTTCACAACATGCAGTTGTGCTTAAAAGATTGCACGCCCTCCCATTAAAGAAAATGATAAATTCACTCTGGTAATTGAAACAACACAAAACAAAATAAGGTAATAATATATACAAATGTACTAATTGATAATTTCTTAAAATAAATAGGCTTTTGAATTTTTTTGTAAATGATTCTAAAAAAACAAACTGTCCCAGACTAGTTAAAGTACCTTGCTCATGAACAGATTATTTTTTATTTAATTTATTTGTTATTTCTTTTTTTTCCCACTATTTTGTTTGTATTCAGTAGGTTTTCTTATTACGCAAAATAAAATCACATTGAATTAAAAGTTTTAGGTCCTTTAGTCCATGTTCTAGTTTTGATGTGGTTCTTTATGGCTTGGCTTATCCTGTCATTTTTGCTGTTTGTTGCTTGCCATATTTGTTCAGTTTGTTTACATTTTTCCAGGTGTTTTCTAGTTTATTGTTCTTCGGTATTTCATAATGTTCCAGTTAGTTTTCTCCTTACTTTTTTTTGTATTTGTAAAGTATGGAATTTTGCCCTTAACATCTATGTACCACATGCATTATACATAGTATATACAAACCACAGGTTTATGTTCCAGTTTGAATTTGGCACATAAAGCACAGTTGATGGTTGTGACTTAGAATGCTTAGATGGAGATTTATTAATTGTTTGCATCGCTGGGTAGGACAAGTACAGATGGTGATTTATTTGAATCTCTTGCCTCAGCGCTCACTGATATTTAATTGTCCCATTTTCCTCATAAAATGGACTTCTAAAGTGTTGTTGGGGTATGTGCAACACACTGTAGATAAATTCATAGTCAGCTTCGTTCTCTGTTGGAACAAGATAGGGTTGAACTCAGCTAGATCTACTGTCCTTACTTGTCCTACCTCTTTGTCCCTCATGTCCCTTCTTAAGATGTTTTCACTGCATTGCAGCATTGGAGTTCATGTCCACTGGTGCTGTTGTCTTCTTATAGTACCGGAGGGCTTAATTTTGCCAACTTCTTAACAATGTCCTCCACTGGCACTGCCTCCACTGCCTTAAAGAAATGTGCTTGTTGCTTTAGAACAATCCTTGTTTCTTCATTAGTTCCTCTGAATCTAGGAATGTATGACACCAAATGTAAGCTTTGAGGAAAAGGACACAACTGTCTTTAGAGCAACCAGGGGAGTGAAAACACACCAGAGCAAAGAATCACACAAGTTGTGGAGCTTTAATGTTTTTGCATATATTTTAAGAAAAAAATGTGAATCAGATATTTTTCACATGAATTCTCCTTCTTAACCAAAAAGGGAGAGACATTTTTCAGTTTATAGCCTGTATCACTGCAAAAACAATCTAGAAATAAGTAAAAATTTCTTAAATTAAGTGTATTTAGCCTTAATTTGAGTAGATGAAGTATTCTGCCAATGGAATGAGCATCTTTACTCTTAAAATAAGATAATATGCGCTTGAAATAAGACAATGCAATTGTTTTTTCTTATTTTAAATGTAAATTGTCATGTTTCATTGGCAAAGTGTCTAACTTACCTCCTAAATTCAAGAACAAATGCACTTATTTCAAGAAAAAATTACTTATCTAGATTTCGATTTGCTTATTAAACAGTGTTGAGACACATTTGATTTCAAACACATTCAGACACACCTAATATGCAATTAAACCAAATTTTTTTTTTTTATAAATCTAATTCAAAATCAAACACAAGCAGTCCAAGAGTTCACATCTCTCTTTGGGTTTTTGCAGAGGCTGATTGAGTGAGAGAACAGTCCAGATAAACAGGTTTTACCAACTTAAAAAAAGAGCAAAATGAGGATGAAGTTAGCATTTCAAACTGCCCTTAAATGAGTGATGAGCAAAAATATGTATGTTCACCCATTCCAGATGAACATCCCTCTCTATTCCCTGGAGGTAGTAGACAGCTAATTTAGCTGGAAAACCTTCATCAATACAAGATTTTCCATCATAGAAAAGATTGAAGCAGAGAAACTTTTCTGTATTAGATTAAGGTGCTCTGGATGCTGGAGACCCCCAGGGTTTGTATGAATTTATGTCCTGCGCTGACGGCTTTATTTCAGAAATGACTAAATGTCAAAAGGCTTTAGCAGGGAAATGATGAGGACCCACTGAATGCTGACTCTATGTTGTAGCAACCTTGTTTATATAGAAACATCCCAACCAAAGGGTGTCTGTGTCTAAGCCACCTGGTATTGCTTTGTTGTGGTGCGCTCAGCGGGTGGGTTAAGCTCTGATTTTCCAAGCTGATCAAATCACCAAAGAACTTTCAAAATGTTAGATCTCAGCCACTGGGGGAGTTCTAGGTGTAGTTCTGAGGCAGATATCTCATTTAATAATTGATCAGTCATCCTCATCATTGCAGAGGAATCTGGAAAAAGTATTTGACCTTGATTATGAGATTAGGACACAACAGACGCAGGACAGCGAGCCACGTTTGTTCTGAAAATATGGGGCATGTCTCCTGTGCCACCATTCTTTTCTCTGACCCCTAATTCGCGGCTCATTCTTTCGGGCTGCTCACAACGGGGCAAAGCCGCCTGTGGAATGAGGTCACCGCCGTTCCTGTTCTCTGCACCGTGCTGTGCTAAATTCTGTGAATTGAGTCAGCGTGGACAAAGCTCTCCTGGCTGCCCATCAGCCTCATCTGGACCCCGGTTAGATATCATGCCTATATATGTTTTATACATGCAGTCTCTTTTTACTCTACGTTTTTTATTTTCATTTGCATTCTTATCTTTTGTTTCACTTTTCTTTCTTCCAGTTTTTCCTGGAGAAATAAAGAGGAAAAATAAACCTCCCCTCGTCCTCCCAGACATTTCAGTTTCCTTTCACTAAAGATGAAAATAAAAAAATACCCCAGCTCTGCTGGAAGCTCTGCTGCGGCTCAGACTTCTTTGTCCCACTCTTCTTCTTCTTTAATTAGTAAACACAAGGGAACAAGTGTGAGGAATGTCCCCCTTATCACTGCTCTGTGTCAGGTCATATCCAGGGTTGCTATGGTTAGCCTCTCTCTTTAGGACTGTTTTTACTCATTTTGAGGTTTCCCCTTCATTTCACCTTTCAGCTTGTCAGGTAAAATAAATTGTGTCTGCATGCTTTCACTTAGGCCTGTTCAGTTTGATTCACTCTTGTTCTTCTCCTAAGGCCTTGGCAGAACTAATTATTATTTTATGGAAAAGAGATTAAAGGTAATAAAGCATTAGTTTTCTGGATTATGTAACCGGGGAATTATTTAAAAAGACATTGATATGTTTAATATTTAGCTGTGTCATTAATAAACAGATACGCAAAATGTGTTTTTTATTAAAAGATTTCAAACAAAAAGTTTAACCTTTGCCGCAGTTTTTTAATAGTACAAATTGCAGAAAAAGAGTCCACATCGAACTCACAATACGATATTTATTGTGATATTGTGGGGAGGCTTATGCTAATGAGAATGACAATAAAAAAAATGCTTTAACCTGTTAAAGGTACAAACATTTATTCTCATATTGAGACCACTAAAATGCAAGATATTAACTTATGAATACAACTTAACTTAGGCTTTGTTTGGTAAATAAAAATATCCAGGAACAAAACTGGGTCGGTATTAGATTTCAATAAATTAAAATAGGTAAAAAATAGTAAAAGATTGCAAGGGATTCTAATTTTCAAGCTGCCTAAGGCAGTTTCACATCAGTTTTCGTTTCACTGTATAGAGCTGGAAAACTACTAAAATGTGATTGCAATGGTATTTTTATTTATTTATTTATGTATTTATTTATTTTCTCAGTGTCCTGTCTGGCGATGGGGCAATAAGAATAATTGTCTTGATTCCAAAAAGAGCCCGACAGATTTTACTTTCACAAGTGGAGCAGTGCGGCTATTGCCATAGTGTTCCTCTTGATTTATGCATGTAAATAGCTTTATTATAATTCATGCAGGGAGTATTACAGATTATATGAACACTGCAATATAAGTAGAGTAGGAAAGGAAAACCAAGGAAAAAGAGAAAAGATGAAAGTAAAAGGAGATAAAAGGGAGAAAGATGATTAAACGTCTTCTGTCTTCTTCATCACCTGCAAAGTGATGTAAAAAGAACAGCACAACCAACAATATAGTATAACAGATACAATGGTGTAACGCCTTAGCACCATCGCTGAAGTATATGTATTTTATATATTAATTTTATATAAATAGATGTATTTTATATTTAGGCTCCAACTTAGACACTAACCCCAAGCCATCCACAGTTATTAAGGGATGTAAATCACTCGCCTTATATTTAACGATGAATGTTGGTATTTCTTGATCCTTGGTGCTTTTGGAGGCAGTGCTGTTGTAATTGCTTCATGCAGAGTTTTTTGAACTGATTGTAATTTCTTAACACTCTCATGGAACATCACTGGGTGGTGAGTTGTCAAGTGATTCCTCACGTTGCTTGTATTTCCAGATATATACCCTGCTGTGCTCTTGCACTCTTCTATTGTCACCTTTTCTCATTTCTGATGACGAAACCAAAATACTTCCACAGCAGATTTAAAATCAGCTGGGGCATTCCCATTGTCTGTCCTGTGTATCCATACGGTGTTTGCTACTCTTGCTGCTGTCTGCCAGGGTTTTTTTCTATAGTGTTTGCGCTCCAGTTGGTTCTAAAGAGACCATTATCTCCCTATGTAGTTTAGTGTTATATACTCCAACAAAGCAAACTAGAAACTACAAATTTAGCCTTAAACATGTCATATATACCAT